ACCAAAAGAAATTATGTCCATTGTTTACAGGGGATAATTTATTAGGCACTGAAGCTCGTCTTCGAAGGATAAAATCTGCGAATAACAGGTTCATAACTACATCAAAACGGCCACATCGTGATGATGATGGCGACAGTTCTTCGTCCACTATATCAATTGAACGAAATCAACGATATCGACCATTATTCAACGATCCGGAAGAAAGATCGATAAATCATGTCGAAACTGAAGGTCAAAAAACTCCCATGGAAACAATTAAATCGGAAATCCAGCAGAATGGTAGCATTCCACTCAAGCCACCCGATAAAATTCAAAAGCGTCGACCGAAAACAGCCAAGAACAGGTAACAATCTTTTATTCATGGTCGATAATAAATTACAATATTTTCTAATACTTTCGTGATATATATAAATTATAATGAAATTAAATACGAATCGAATATTTTTATAGAATTTTTAGAATATTTTTTGCGAGAAAAATTTAAATGAGGATCAGAAAAAGACATAAAAAGCTTCATATATTCTATTTTACATTTCAATTTTTCAAAGCTAACATGAGAAATACTTTTTTATCTAATTAAACATAAATAAAAATAAAAGATGCGATTTTAAAAATATTTGAGAACTTATAAACGATTTCATTTATTTTCAATAAGCAGTGAATAAATTTATAGCCTTTTTATCAATTAGATAGATTTTATATAATTAAAGCTGAAAGTCACGATATTTATTGAATCGATATTTATATCGATAATGTAATATACAAAAGTCGATAGTAAAAGAGAGAGAAAGAGAGAAAAATCTATATCTTTTAAATAAATAACGATCAGCACGTTGCATTAACTGATATGATTTTAATAAAATTTTAATTAAATTCTGTCTAATAATCATCTCATCGCATTGGCGTTATACAGGATAAAACTATCATGTACATATTGCAGATTTTACTTTAACAAAGATTTCCTTGCATTTATAGTTTCAGTAAAAAAATATATTATGCTACTCAATTAAAGTAAATAAATTATATATATAAATAGATTTTTCATTTAAAGTTTATTACATATCCATTGAATTAATTAATACACATATAATTACAAATATACATATATAATATTCAAAATTTGAAAGAGAAAAAATGGAATAAGATACGATAATTGATGTCATTTAATGTTTTTTGCTAAAAAAAAATGTAGATTAAAGAAATATATAGCTTAAAAAATATCTGTAGTAAAACACCTTAGAGCTTGATATCAGCGACCGATTGATTGTATTCCAAATTAGTCGGCATCTCTTTTTAACGCATGCATAGAGTATCACCTAAGGAAATAGAGGAGCCGAGGAGAAGGGAATCGATTGAGCAGAATAAGGCGGCCTCACCACCGACGTCGTCCTCGGATCCGCTCGAGCCATGGAGCACGCGTGGCATTACCGACATGAACACAATATTGGCTTGGAGGGATAACGCACCGGATAGTCCTTAATATGACTTTATGATATTTTGCGCTGCACTGATTACGACGCCGATGTGACCGGCATCGGATCGTACACATGGATGATCGTGCGTAAGGAAGCTTCAAGCTCGAACTTATTTCAAAAATTGCGTAAGTTCAGTTCTAAAAGCTTAAAACTAATATGCGTGATTTTGGTTTAGTAACCCAGAAGTTACACTCTGAATATATAAACAATCATTAGTCGAAGATATGCAAATAACACTTTATAAATAATTATAAGAATGCATTAGAATTAAAATTAAAAAATTAATCAGCAATAACTTCTCACGTACATAAGAGACTGGCTCACTATTTTTCCAAAGGAAATTTTGAAACACAATTTAATGTTACATAAATTAGTTTTTTCGCCGATACCGCATGATGCTTAATATAAAAAAGAGCTTAAGAAGAAAAGATCTTTTACAAGCGAAATAAACAGTTTGTAATACATACGATCGATTTGCATATACGGCAGTATTATATGTTAAGTACTGCTAATATAATTTACTTAATCTTGCTCGCGCATCGCGTCTCTTATTGTGGCCGACATGCCATTAAGTGACAGGCTTCCGTATGATAATTATTAAAGCAAACACACACACACACACATGCCAGGGACCAAGCAATGTTAACTTACCGTTACGTAATTTCTATAGGGATTGCACGATGAGAGATTTTCATATCCATGTGTGCATATCTATTAAATGAGCCGCTAAGGAATTTCTCAAAGATACAGACAATTCTGTGTAGCGCAGGCAATGTATCTTTTCGTCTGCTTTAGAAGATATTTCCAACTTTGAAGGAGATTCCAGATTTTAGATCTCTTACACGATTCGCCAATTATGCAATTAAAACATTCGGCAAGTTATAAGCTGCAATATTGTGCGACAATAGTCATATTCTCGCTGATAATAATTATTAACTGGTTTCTTACTTATCCGATTCTTGTGCATAATTAACATTTTAGATATTATAATTATCGAAGATTAAACGCATTGCCAAAAGCAAAAATATCTTGAAATTGAAAATTAAACACATTCGCTAAAGGCAAAAATATCTGCAAATCTGTTGAAATCATTGTGTATATACTTGTGCATACGGATACTATTTGTGTACATGAAACATATTATATATGAAATAAACTATTTTCAAGTGCGCATTATTAATTTGAAATTCTTCAGATTAATTTTAATTTCTTTCGCGTGTTTCATTGCCCATATGCTGCTTTTCGTTTTAATCAAAATGTTTGACATGCCATTACTCGGAAATGTAAATTGCGTTACTGACAAAACAATCAACCCTTGTAAAATCGAGTTGTCGCATATGCATACCGTTTTACGTTAAAACGTTAAGTAAATTTACAATGTCGTTAAACGCGTCATGTAGTCTACGCTCCCAAAATTTGCCCTTTTTGTGTTGCATACAACTTTCACATGTGTGAAAGAGTATTATAGAAATATTTTATATTTATTTATATATATTTAATTGTTGAGAAAAGAAGAATTTTTAGGAAAACTACGGATAGACAGTAGTTCAATTGATTAAAATGTTCGAGAGAAGAGCGTTTGATTGAAAATCCGATTCACTCTCGCAAGTATAGTTCGCTATAGCTACCATACATTAATTTCGTCGACAATCTCTACCTATTGTCGCGATATAGAGATACGGCAAGAGAAGAGATGGCGAAATGTTAGGCAGTCTCGCCGCGACGGAACTTGCGGAGTTCTTATCTCCCATGCGTATTGAAACAGTAATGATATGAGAGGCGGCTTCGGCTCTCGCGAAATGAAAACACGCGCAGCACACGACACGGCAGAAGCAACGAAGTTGCCGAACAAGCACGTTTACACGTTATAACATCTCCCACGGGGGGAACGATCGAACAAACAAATTTCAACCCGCTATGCCAAAATTACTATCGAAAGCTTTATGAATCGCACTTAGGGGGGGAATAAACGCTACAAAATTGTTCCACCCAGAATTATACCTTATATAGTTAGAGAGGAGAATCGTTATTATATTTTATATATATATTTTTTTGAATTTTTGCTTTTCACTATTACTTTCATTTTGCTACAGATTTTACATCCAATTTATACATATGCTTTATTTCTCTCAATTGCTCAATATTAATTTCTATGAATTGTATATTTGTGATATTATATTACATACAATATTACATATACATATATTATTGAGTATTTTATTAATATTAATTAAAATACACACACATGATTATCATATGGCGAAGATTTCAAAAATACCATACGAGCTTAAATCGATCAGATACGCGAATTAAACGACACGAAATACAACCACCGCAATATTTCGCAATGCGGAAGGAAGGAGAAGAGAGGATAAATAAATTCGGATATAAAGCAATGTGCCACGCAAGCAAATAAAAATATCGACCTGTGCCGAGTGGGTCCGCCCACGAGACAATTTATCAGGGGGCAGCGATTTCGTTTTCTTTACACGCAGCCACGAATTCTCGGTCCCGTAATAAATGCGGAATTGAAATAGTTTGCGCGATGCGTTGCTTAGGTATATACGTCTCGTTTCCGGTTCGCGCATCGATCAAGCGCAAAATCAGCAGGCTCGATTCGCGTGGAGGCGATATGAATTTCCGTTCCGTTGCGCGATAAATTTCCCTACCAATTCAGGCATCTCTGAACTGTCGAAGTCGCTAAATTGATTCGCGCGGTTTGAAGTTGGGCAACTGGCGCGAGGAAAAAAAAGAAGAAAGACTCGCGATTAAGCCTGGCGCGCAGCTGAAGCGCAATTGCAGCTGACGCGCGCGGCCAATTTCGCGGCGGCGGCGATGGCGTTGACGATGATGAAGTTCGATCCGGGGATGACAGTTCGCACCCTCTGTCTGTTATTCTTCCTCGCGCGTTACGGCGATGGCGACGACGAGGTGAAAGGAAAGATATTATCGACGCGCGGCCGTGAGGACAAAAATTATTGTCGTGTTTGTCCCAATCACACCATGTGCATGTTCCCTGTAAATATTTATAGAAACTGCTTGGGTAATATTGCATACATGTAAACTACATTCGATCGATTAAAATAGCAAGTTAATATGCAATATCCAATATTGAATATTCTATTCATAAATCAATATTCAAAGTCGTGACAAAACATGCCGATACTATATTCGACATCCAGATATTTCATTCTAATCGTTTTATTAAAATAATCCTGTAAGATATAATCGAGAAATCGAGATAAAAGATCACAAGAGCCAAGCGCAATAGATAAAATTCGTATTTTGTTATAAATATAAAATTAATATAAATATAAGATCATGTGAAACATAAATAAAATTCGATCCTTTTTTTGGATTCTCAGTGCAATTAAAAAGTAAATTTAGACTACATAAATAAATTCGCAGTCATAGGGGTAAAAAATAGTAAATAACAAAAAAGAAATGATAAGAAAAAAAAAGTAAAGTCATTGATACAAATTCAAACTTTCTCACATCATCAGACGAAATTGAAATTAAACTCTCTCTCGTAACGAAAGAATTATCATTTTACAATCGCTACTCATTTCTGCGCAGTCCGATTGCAAGAGTGAGGATTGCATCGATATGGAGTATAACGATCTCGACGGGGAGGATATCGAAACCGTGCTCGACAGTCATAATTTTTATCGGGTCGCTATAGCGAGCGGGAAGGAGAGCCGCGGAAACCCTGGGCCGCAGCCTGCCGCGAGGACCATGATGGAATTGGTAGAAAAATCGACGGAACACGCGCGATATTTAATCATTTATCCCGGGGATGGCGGAGACGGCATCTGAAGCGTCATTTGTTTCGACAGATGTGGGACGACGAGCTCGCCGTTATAGCGCGTAGATGGGCGTTGCAGTGCAAGCTCTTCGAGAAGGATCAGTGCCGAGACATTGGCAAGTAACTCCAACGGATATATCTCATTTTTCATCCGCTCCCTCCCTCTCACTCTCTCGTCGCGCCGTTATTTTTCAATATCCAATAACCCGTGCAGACGCGAAATTGTTCTATCGATGCGGCCATTGAAACATGCGCATGTATGCGTTGCATTATGTACATAAAGCTGAGAATCCTCTAATTTTCTAATGGAGCGGATTTTGACCAGAGTTTAGTCGGAGCTCGCAGATTTTGACGCTAATAATGCTTGGTGCAAACTGACTGTATTTTCGATAATAAGAAATATTAAGGACACGATATTTTCTTGAATCTAAAATGTCGAAACTTTTTTTGAAATCAAATTACAGCAATTTCGATATTTGCAAAATTACGAAAAAAAAGCCAAGATTTTATTAGATTTTTTTATTAGACAGGGAACACGATGAGCGAACCTTGTTATAACCGTTCTTAGAATGATTACTCTACCAATGTCGCGGAGTGCATACGGATGCCTTATTGAAACGAGTCGCTCGTTGCAGAACGATTTGGAGTATGGCAGAATGTGAACGTACTCAACATGGACAGCGTGGGATATGGTACGAGTAGAGAAAGAATTCACTTTCATATTACGTCATGGTACGACGAGGTGGAGGACTTCGACAACGCGGAAATCGGGTAAAACTCGAAAGTGTGCGCACAGTGTACATACAGGATGTCCCGTACCTAGCCATCTTTCACTTAGATGGATCTTTTGACCAATTTCTCTTTGGCGAAAACGTCGAGAGAAGATCATTTATCATTTGTCGCAAGTTCTCGATTCTTAACAATAAATATCTTCTTGACCAATTCTTGAATTAAGAATCTATGATAAAATAAGTTTTTACTTAAAATTAAAGAGGAAGAGTTCCATTATCTCTTTGCACTTTTAATTCCTAAAGCAAAAGCGCGGAAAGCCCTTTTTTCAATTACTTAACTGTACTGCTTCTTTTGACGGTCTAAGAAAAAATTTCACTCCAAATCGGTCGAAGGTCACATTATAAGAAAGCGAAAGATGGCTGGCTAGGTATGGAACACCTTATATATGCAAATCGCGCGACAGAATCGGCATATACGCGCAGTTTCCTTCAGGCCCGCGTATGTAGGTCGATGGTAACGCGTGCACGAATCGCGATGCCGTCGAGAGGAAGGTACAATAGCCCAAGCCGAGTTGATCGGAACGACTCCTTTGTGCCGAGAGACTCTAGCACTCCTTTGTGAATGGCCGATGTTCGATTCGGTGTGTAGACACAGCTAACTCGGTCCCAAATTTCGGGGGAAGGTTTGCGGCTCTATTCTTCACTTCCCTTCGCCTCCCTCTCGCCTTTTCGCGATCCTCTATTTCATCCCACGTATCCACCCTCGTTTCTGCTATTGCCCGCGATCGCGGTAGTCTCATGAGACTCAGTACTGGTTTTAGATGCATCTGAGCCCCGAGCGATGCCTCTTTCCCTCCCTCCTCTCTCCCTCTCTTGGTTTAAAATTAAAATTTGAAAACAAGAATATGATAAATAAAAAAATAAATAATGAAAGAAAATTTTAAATATATATCCATATGTATCTTTATTTCCCTTCAACATATACAAATCTTAAATGTAGAGGGATTTATAAAATTTTTACTTATAATAATGGAACATATGGATACATATAAATTTCGTGATGTAAATACATTGGACTTAACTTTCTTATCCTATAATATTAAGGATATTTCTTTTCACTTCCTTTTACGCTTTCCTTTTTACATTTAGCAGAAAAAATATCAATAGATTATACATACATACATGTAGATAAAATCTAAATTTATTAAATTTTTATTAAATTTATTAAATTAATATTTTTATAATTTTCTATAAAAATATCTAAGTTTTCATATTTTGATGTATGCTATTGGCTTCTTTTGATACCTCGTCGCTGTCGCTCGTCTTTATCTTTCTAAAGCCACTAGGGAGAAGGTTAGAGGAAAGGAGAGAAATGAAACGACTTGACCGTCAGAGAAAATGACCGAAGATCGATTCTATGGAACAGGGAGTGGAAATAGAGGAACAGCGGGTGGTGTTCTTCTTCTGTCGCTGGGAACAATCAAAATCGCGTATTCTCTCGGTAAATTGGAAATCGAGAGTGCTATTGTATCGACTCAAATTACTCGTCGATAGTCCGGTATACATGGATCTCCCAGCAGCTATGAGTTGCTGCTGTCTTTTTTTTATTCCGATCTGATAGGAAAAAAAGTTTCAATTTCCTATAGGATACATAAAAATATGATACAATATCAGCTTCGAGCTTTAACCCTGTAAAGTCATTTGAAAGAACTGTACAAGAAGAGACATGTTATGTTATCTCTTTCTCTCTCTCTCTTTTTTATGTATATCTATAATATAACGTTATGATTTATTTAAATTTATTTAAATAAATTTATTTGAATAAATCTATAGAGATAAAAAAATTGTATATATAAATAGATAGATAGATAGATAGATAGATAGATAGATAGATAGGAAAATCCAGAAAATATTAATTATTTCCCAGCAAACACAGAATATTGCAGCAATATTGCGGCAATATTATAACATTGCAGCAATGTTACGGCAATGTAGCTGCAATATTTTGGTTTGCTGGGTTCAAAATGAGAAAAAAAAAGGAAAAATATATAATTTAGACACAAAACTTTTATAATACTCTCCGTAGGCACACAAAATCTCTTGGAATTATTATACATATTCGACAAAAATAAGAACTATGTCTTTCGTAAAATTTGATTAATAATTTTCATTTACAACTTTCAAGATAAATCTATAAGACACACTTTATTTTTCGAGAGTTGCGTGAACATTTCAAATTATGAAAAGCTTTCCCCATCCTAATTTGAATTCAAGTTGCATCAATGGAGGGAGATCTAAAGGCTGCCGACCATCCGCCTTCATTTAGTCCAGATAATCGTACCTTTCAGACTAGTGAACTACTCTAGCGCGTGGCAACTCTCCTCTTATATTCCCCTCGCATCGGCGACGTTCATTTACGTTGGTTGCGGCCGCGCGATTTACACGCTCGACTTGAACAAGACCGCGGCAACCGGCGGGTTTGGGAATCGGGTCGAGGTACTCGTGTGTAATTACGGACCTGTCGATCGCACCGCGCCCCAGCAGCTCTACAAGCTCGGCCGACCTGGTCTATGCCCATCCGGGACCTTCCCCAGCGACCGTTACCAATTCCTTTGTAGTAAGTATAAACTCTCAAAAGAACTTGCATATTCTGATTTTATTTTTTAAATAAAATGTTAAGATTAATTTAGAAGAAAAGAGGAAATAATTATATAAGAATTAAGAGAGAGAGATTTAAAATGGAAGATAAATAACACGTATACATATAATTATATATGTATATTATTTAGATCCCTTAAACTTATTTACTTTGAATCAAATTACATGCACGATAATATATAAGATAAATAGCTATAGATTCTACTGTTAAATTTATAGCATTGCAAATATATTCAAGCGCATCAAGCTGGTTAGATACTTGTAAGATATCTTGCAAAGTTTATAATAATGTTAACACAAACTAATGATCTCTCATTTGTTACTCTGTGGACAAGCAGCCATATGTGGTTTGCTTGCAAATCTTGAGTAACAACGTGAGGGGCATTCACCGCCGTCACGTTGTCCGTTCATGTACGTTCGTTACTACTTACTTAGCAACCGAACACTTAGCCGGCTCTTCTTCGTTGATTCGTCGCTTCATCGATCGTTACGGGACACGCGATCACTCGGTTAATCCTTAAGCACGAAAGCTCGTTTATCTTTATCGGTGTTCCTGAGTCTCAGATGCCGGAGGCACTTTTGTGTAAAGAGATTACCTTTGTCGGTAAAAGTGGAAAATCTTTTTCTCGCCGTTAATGTCTGCTGACCTATCTCCCGATCCGTATTTTTGTAATCATATTTTTATATACATACTTATTTTTTTTTAACTTTATTGGACAAGCTCATGGCTATGTAATTTTGAAAAATAGTTTAAAAGAGATTTATCAGACGTCTTGTTTTCGTCTCAAAAGAGACGAAAACAAGACGTCTAATGAATGTGTTCTATTTTTATTAGACTTTTTTATGAGAAATATTTTCTACAGCATTTTGCTGTACTTTTTATATCAATATCAAAATTTTAAGTATTATTATGTGTTAATTAAATTATCTCTTTATTTTAAATTTTTTGCATATACAATTTTATATATATCTGTAGTTTACGCGCGATCAAGATTAAGGAAACAAAGTTGTTATTCTTCATTATTGTATATCTCTTTTCTCGCGTTGATAATATTAGTCAATTAGATGAAACCAGATGAAACCATTTAAATAAATCATGACGTTATATTAAGCGTCAATGTAAATCAATATTTTCATATTCACTCTCGGCAGACAACCTCAAAATGATGACAATATTAAAATTAATGCTGAGTAATCTTGCTTTATTAGAATATAAAAAGAATGATAGCTACTTTTTTGAACGATCAACATCGTTCTCATCATATGGTATAGCGATTATTCATGCTTTTGTGAACATCGAGGATCTGACACAAGAATGATAAATGGATTAATATTATCAGCAGGGACATATCGATCGTTTCATAATAATTTCGACATTTTTATTCTTCGCACGTAGCATATTCTTCCGAAAAATGATCTCGTAAATAAATATATGTATACGTATATCTTGGGAGATATGAACATTCTCTTCTGAAATGAAAGGTTGGACGGCAAGGTACAAAAAAATTATTATTTATATAGAGACGCAGATGGTTTTATATCATTTACGATAAAAAGACAGATAAATTAAAAGTAAAAGATACGAATGAACATTGAAATATTATTCTGATATTAATTCTAAGATCTTTTCTATTTTATATTTATTATTTTATTTAGAAATAGTAAATCATCAAGATCAGAATATGTCATTTCTGAGAAAATCAAGTCGAAGATTTCAAGTGAGAAACAGGCAGATAAACAATCATACCACCTCTATCGTTTGTGCTGTTTCTCTGAATCAGCTATTATTACTGTTATATTTAACGACGCAATTGCCATTGTATTGCAGATAAGCGTGACTAAACATCATTTTAAGATAATCAAAATATTGAACTATTATGTGTGTGTATGTATTTACAGCTTACGCATAATGATATCAGATGTTAGATGTATCTAAATTACAATGCACACAGTGTACATTTGAATACGCAATAATGTCAGCGTAATCCGAGTAAATATAACATTACTGCTATAACCACGAGTAAATTGTTAAAATTGTCAGTAACAATTGTAGCCACTGATTTAACAGTTATCAGTTTATAAATTATGGAAATGCGGTAGACACACACACATGTGCAAATATATCGCATTATGAAATTGACTATGGGGATTTTATCGACTAATATAATAATAAATGAAATATAATTATTCAACTTTTATTCATTTCAAATCTAATTTGAGAACTAAAGTTTATTTTTGTTTGAAATGAATTGGATTTTATAATAAAATACATTAATTATTATTATGTTTCTAATTCTCACGTCCCGAGAACGAAGTTGCGTGATTTTAATAAAGCAAACTTTAGTAATTTTAATATTTTAGTAAGCTGCAACTTTTGTGAATATTATATATTCCATTGTTTTTAATCCTCAGCGTTGCTTTTATCTAATATTTTGATATCTCAAATAAATGAATCAAAAATCGAATGAATTATTTTAACTTATTAAACTGCTAAAAAATTTAAATTGCAAATTTGATTTTAAATAATTTCTTTTCTGAAAAGAGATAAAAAAATACATTAAGAAGGATTACATGAAAAAATCTCAAATGAACAAGGAAAAATATAAAATATGCTGTAACAACAGTTCAAAGTGGAATGAATTTGCAGCAAGAACTTGTAAAATTCTTTATACGTACATTTATTAACGAATACAATCTATTAATTAAGATAGGCAAATAATTTTTTCCTTGAATAAGAAGGGAAGACAGAATTGTGAAATTTTAATAAATTTTGTAGCTTTGGATTACTTCTAAAAATTATCAAATACGCCGTTTACGTAAGAATAAGAAAATGAAATCAAGCATGAATTCAAGACATATAAAATAGCTAGGAAAAAATGTGTCGCAAGTTATTTATTATTCTGCTTTTCTTTCTTTCTTTTAAGAAATATAAATTTTATCCCACGAACAAAATCGAAATATAGAACAAGTCGATTATTTTAAACTCTTGAAAAGTATTCCCGAATTGGAATAAATTTATTTCTACTTTATACACACACACATTCTGTCTCTCTCTCTCTCTCTCTCTCTCTCTCTCTCTCTCTCTCTCTCTCTCAGAAGCATTTTGCGAAACTCCTCAATAATATTGTTAGTAAAATATTAACAGTAAAATTATTTGCGAGAAGAAACTTTTACACGTTATTTTTTTACAAGCACCAAAAGAAGAAAAAGTATCATAGTATTCTTACGTACATAAATATCATTAATCAATTTATTCTTGTTTGTCTATAATAAGAGATAAATGAATTTTATAAGAGATTCAAAGATAGCTGTTTAAAAGTGGAGCAAAAGTTAAATAACAAAAATCAATGAGAAAACGTTTGCACAAAGGTTGGAAATATTTCAATTTTGAATTCCTAGGCATTTATTGATCTAGTTGTCTATTGATATTAGATTCTTGAGTGTGCCATAAAAATTTAAAGATCTCTCATTCTCTGCAACGATAAGTCGATTTACATTTTATATCCATTGTTCATATTCATTTATTGTGTTTCGTATTATGACAATAGTTTTGTTCACGAAAAAACAGAATTCAGTTTCGGTATCCTAAATCGAGATACCGTAATTCGGAGCAATCATTTTGATTAAAAATGATTTTAATCCTATGGCATTTATTCATTTAACACAAACATTTTTTAATAAATTTTTATCATAAATTCCTGCTGTGACAGAAATCTGTTTTGCAAGTCGAGCAATGTATTTTCGGTTTTCGCGAGGATGGAAAAAATGTCTGATAGAAACAGGTAAGTGTAAAGCATTACTCTTGATTTCTCCCAAAACTATCTTTGAAATAAGGTGGAAAAATATCAAGGAACCGTGCGACGAGATAAAGAAGCTAGTGCAGAGAATAGGGGAAAGGAATTCCAACGTCAGCCGAAGTGAGAGGAAGAGGACTATTACTATTGATGGCGATGATCAGGGTAATACAAGTGAATGTGACATAGACGAGCAAAAAGATGAAAGCGAAGGATGAAAAAGCAAAAATTGCATGGCGAAAGAAAAGATTTACGCCAGTTCTGCTTTTTGAAATATTTGGATATTAGATTTATCAGAAAAGGCGATTCTCAATGTCAGCGAAACAACGAATGACCTCATCTTTATAAGAGCTAAGAGTGAGAAATATATAAATATGATAAGCGCGATTACATAAATCTATTTGATTTATATTTGAGTGTGTAAATCAATAATATAGGCGATGAAACATATCAGGAAAAGACAGTATAGTGTTACAGTATAATATGGTAGAAAAAAAGACATCTCTCTCTCAGATAAATCATTTTATTTTAAAAGAGATGAATGTATAAAAAGATCTGATCAATCGTAGCTTTGGTAACGCTGGACATTCTGTCGTTATAAAACGACATTTTACTATGTAAATAGTCACACCTATACGTTATTTCAACGTTTGCCCAGACCCTTATAACTCTTTTTCGTATATCATGACAGTATCTGCCTAAAATTACTGATTAGCTTTTTCAAATTCTTGCGTATGTTACATAAAAATATGTCTATGTATAATATGATGTTACGTATTAAAGAATTTTATAGTTAATGAAAAGTGTAATAAAAATTATTATTATAGAAACTTTTTACATATTTAATTAAATATAAAAATGATTAAAAAATTATATTTATAAAAAATAATTGTAATATATCTTTTAATATTTAATATTATTATTAATATTATTAAATGTATATTATTAAATAATTTGACATTTAATATATTATTATAATAAAATTAAATGTTAAATTATTATATAATTCTGATATAACTAAAATAATAAAACAGCTGAAATATAAATGGCGCGCGTAACACATGTGTTATATGCTATTAATAAAAAAGAATCATGACACATTTTTTCCACCTGCTTTCCTAGTTTGATCCATATCACAACAATATATTTCATTTCAAAAAGAACTTTTTCAATCCCTAACGCTATTGCTGACGTCGTGAATGCCACCTACGCTCTTTTCGTGCTTATCCCTCGTTCCTTGATTCTTTATAATGTCAATATCTAAAAACATCTGCGTATAAAAAAATATGCTTCTCTAATAACTCATTTTCTTTTTATATATACTTATTGTTAGCGGAATTATAATTAAACTTTTTTATAAATTAAGTTTTTTAGCTCTTTTTTTTATTCTTTTTATTCTTATTCATTTGTATTTTTATCAATTGCAAAACTTACTAATTGATACAATCATGAAATAGGACTTTACGGGAAAAAATTTCAAGTTAAGATTTAAACATTTGGCGAGTAATGTTTTATAAATATAAATTTATCATATGGATTTTATAAAATGCAATAATTTGGTCTCTCTCTTCTATATCCATCAAATAATATTTCATTCGTCTGATCAGCTGATCGGACTCTTCCTATAGAATCGTCGCGTTCTCACTTGAAGAGTACATGGCCGCGATCTTTTCGAATCACCGATAATCCGCGTTCAATTTCAGCAGGTGAACGTGCACGGAGGTTCGGATAGTCATACCAAGATTCGTAGGGCAGAATGTGAGAAAGCCCGAGTGTTTCCGCAGGAATTCCAATTTCTTCCCGATTTCTTGGACCGCTTTAACGAGTCTCTCGTACCGCCACGAGGTTACCGCTTCGTTCCATTGATATCAGACGCATGTGATCCTCCCTATATTGCTCCACAGACAAGAAAAGTTTTTCCCTCGTTAAAAAAAATATCCCTCTGCCTGGAGTGAAAAGAAAGAATAGCGTGATACAAAAGAACGCAGTGGTTTTTATATACCTTGAACTTTTCAACGAAAAGCTGTTCTTCTTTAATCGCGAAAGGTTTCCTACTACGTCGTGTCGTCTTTAGCGTTGTTGAAGATATTTTTATGTTGCTACTGCTTTTATGTTGCTACTGTTGCTATTATTGTATTCGATATAAATATTGTAATAAATCGTGTACATTACGGAAGAGATAATTGATAGATCATAAGAAGATATAACATTTAACCTTTAACTAAGAGCTTTATTTTAAGTTTAGACGTATTATATCGCAATATATTCCAAAAGTTAGAAACTTTTTCTCTGATTTCTTACAATTTAATTTATTATTTCTTCGTATAATTACATTAAATGCTCGAAATGTGGAGTAAGTCACTTTATCTCAAAGTATCACGCAAATGTATCTTAAGATTAAACTTGCTCTAATCTCGCTTATATTTTATAAATATCTCTCTTAAAGGTTTCTCAATTTGCATTTCGTTGTCTTATTAATAGATTGTGAATGTTTATTGAATTTAGTTATTAAAAATGTTATAAAA